TTGATTTTTTTTAAAAGCCCAATTACTTGTAGAAGATCGGTCATCATCTATGGCACAATCTTATCTTCGTCACAGAGTTCTCCTCGAACCAGATCAAGAAACCATAGCTACGATTCTTGAATCTAAAACCATTTCAAAAAATTATAATATGAAAGTCCTCATACGCGACTACTTTGCTGTTAGTTCTGAAGCATCAAAAATATGCATTGAGATCCTGAAATCTATCATACAAGTTCGATCCAACTATGCATCAATTCAACAAATTCTCAATATCGTCGTTGAAGATTGTCCCCATCAATCTAATGTTGCCAATGATTCGAAGCTATCTAATCTCATTACCCACAACAATCCATTCTTTAACATTAGCAATAAAGATTTTGAGGTGATAAGCAAAAAATATTCATCGGCTTTACAGAAGATGAAAATAAGGAGGAGAAAGGTAGATAGGAAGATAAAGCTTATAAATTACGTCAACAAAGCTTCAGGAATATGCTTGACTGCAGTTTGTGGTTTTCTTGCGGTCACTGCCATGGCTTTAGCAGCCCACACCCTAACTGCACTTTTCATGGGACCAATGATCTTTAGCCTACCCTTGAAGTCATTAAAGAAGAAACTTGGAAGTTTACAGTTTCTCCAAAGCAGGCTTCTGAGGAGAGCTGCAGATCAGCTTGATGTCGCAATGAAGGGTACATATATTTTGAATAGGGGCTTTGATACAATAATTCGGCTTGTGAATGGTCTTAATGATGAAATTAATCGAAATCGAAAGATGATAGAGTTATGTTTGGAAAGGGGTCGTGGGGAAGATAAGATTTGTTTGCAGATTTTTAGGGAGGTTGAGAAGAGTCATGTTTGGTTTAGGAAACAAGTAGACGAGCTTGAAGAGCATGTATATATGTGCCTTTTGAGTATCAATAAGGCTAGAGCATTGGCGATCAAGGAGTTGTCGAAGTCTTGTAAAAAGAAGGCCATACAAAACTCAAAAGTCAGAAACGAAAAGATGTCAATAAAAGAAATCATGGACTAAATGCAAATTAGGTCCAACATGCCTATATCATTTTATCTAGAGAAAATGACCTTAATAACCATTTTTATTTTTATTTTTACTATAAAATAGCTACAAAAATGAAAAATAACCAAAATACCCATAAATACTTTTTCATACGAAAAATACGAAAATATAGATTTTCATAGTTACCTATGATTATTTTGATCATTTTGCAAACTTCAAACGTTCATAAGTACTTTTTCATACGAACACCGTTTGAATTATGTTTTTTTTTTTTATTTTGATTGTGACAAGGGCTTTCCATAGACATATTGCACTCAAAATTTGGAGGTCAGAATACTCTTTAGCTCCAAAATAGACTAGTTAGTAAAAAATATGAATAATAATAATAATAATAATAATAATAATAATAATAACTCAACTTTGATCATTCATAAATTTGCATATGAACTCCGTTTGAATTGATTTTTTTTCATTGTACATGTTCTGTTTAACAAAAGGTTTTCCATTAACATATTGCACTCCTATTGTGGATGTTAGAAAGTCATATTTTTTTAGCTTTAAAGTAGCCTATTTGGTTAAAATTATGAAAATAAATAAATAAATAAAAACTTCCTTGTTTTGGCATACAACATTCATAACAATCATTATACCATTTGTGTTCTCTCCATCACAAGATTATCTATAAAAATAAAATAAAAAATTAAAAAAATATTTTAGCTTTTATATACAAATTTCATAACAATCATCATACATTTGGGTTCTCCCAATCATAAAGGGTGACTTACAAAAACCTGCCATTTTTACAAATGATTGAGTGTGAAAATAATGATTATTTAGTTCATATTTAGAGGGAAACAAACTTTTGATTTTGTTCACATTTAGTCACTAAACTTATTTTTATTATTTATTTGTCACTAAACTATTGAAACTGTTCACATTTTATCCTTATGACCGGTAACAACCGGTCATAAGGGTAAAATGTGAACAGTTTCAATAGTTCAGTGGCAAATAGATAACGAAAAAAAGTTTAGTAACTAAATGTGAACAAAGCCGAAAGTTTGTTACCCTTTCAAGTCATTATCCCTTGACTATTTTATGGTATAAAGTTTTTGCACCTTTTTTATACCTCTTTCAGTTTCATTTTTTTAATTATGCCTCTTTCAGTTTTTCTTTTTTTAATTATACCTCTTATTCTTGCTTTACTCCAAAAACTATATTTTCCGTTTCTTTAATTTTTTTTATCATTAAGATATGTGTAATACATTGCCTATATCTTACATTTTTCTTAAATATATGAAAGTCATGTAAGCTATGTGTAACCCATAATCTAACGGTTTTTTTTTTTTTTTTTTTTTTTGACTCGGACCTAAAACAGTTTCAGAGCTGCCTTGGCTGTCGAAGAGATTAGCTAATGAAATAAGTGGTTATAATAATTAATTACAGTTACTCACATATAAATGGGAATGGTGAATTGTATAATAAACAGATCTTGATTAGTTAGTGACTGCATAATTATATTTCATATTACAGAGGGAGTTCAATAAGATTTTCTTCTTGAATATAATTAATTTTCCCCTACAATATATAGTACTCTATAACAACATAAGTAAAACGAGCACAAGTTGCTGTTTTATTGGTTGCATTTTGGAATGTTAGGACTTCTCCTAAGATCTATATGAAAACTATTGATCCAACCACATACCATAACATATAAAGTCAAGTTGTTACGTTTCATTGATGAGATCCTTTTCTTTAATGAATATCCCATGTAAGCCGTACGGCACTTGTCGAGGTAGTTTCACTGCCGCTACAACCTCTAGAGTGGGTGACCGGGCATCCATTACCAAGAACCTTGACTCACCCGAGTTTTCATCATGCACATAAGACACCACATACCCATCATCCTCTTCTGAGTTGGGATTCTCCGAGTCTCTTGCAATGAAAAATGGTTCACCTCCGAAGCAGTTATTTCCATATATCCGACTTGCCACAGTGTGCTTATGTTGATCACTGTTGTTTTCTGATGCGAAAATGTCAAGCTTTGCCACCCCTATTGTCCTAATCATCCTCGAACTTATTGGTGTTTTCTCGAAAATTGCTGCATAGACATACCTGCATAATGGAAATATTTCTCTTAATGCCTGATGATTAGAACAAAATACATTTCATCATCAACACAAATTGAAGGATTTTGCTTACTTATTTCTTTTTGCAATATAGGCTGGATTGATTACAGGACACTCCAAGTTATCAGTCGCCATAGTGTGTCTTGAAACAACCCCTGTACCCAAGTTAATCGTTACTTTCTCCATGGATGCTCGGATCAGATCCATTCGTTCAAAGAAATGTTCCATCGACAACATATTTGGTGCCACCAACACCACCACATCTTGGCCATCTTTATCCCTCTCATCCCATGCGTTTACTACATGAAATATATTCAATCCTGGCACCTCAAACCACATCATGTCGGATTCATCCTTTGCATATCGCTGAAGAATACCAATTCTTGAAACCTTTTTTGGGTCTACACTTAGTAGCCGACGTCCACGTATCAAGTTCATAGGATCTGCTCCAAGTTGAATATCAAAGATGACTGCATACTTTTGGGTGATAGCCAAGTCATGAGTTAAAGATGGGTGTTTCATGGAAAAGATGGGGACTTCAGGTTGCTTATTTCCGAATGTATCAATGCGAAAGTAAGTCAGATATGGACGTGTTGCCCAATAACGAAATGCGAAAGTCTCTTTAGTCTCTGGATCAGTCTTTGGGTGAGCCGTCATGTTCATGGAAAGCTTACCATTAAAATCATGGCGACCTAAGGTTGTTATATCGCCATCTTCTTCAACTTTGATTGCATAGGGTAGATCGGACTCACATAACGCATACAAGTTACCCCCAAAAAAGGCTAAACTGGTATTTGCTACACCAAAGCCTTTGCTAAGATCATAATCTCCAGAAACAACTCGTGCAAGAAACAATGCAACACGAGCAACAAAGGGGGCGAGACTTTCCATACCTCCAATAACATTTGGGACCAGATTGGATCTAGCTTGGTGCTCAAAGATATACTTGTTGGTCTTCACGTATCGGCTGCAGAAACTGGGTTGACCATGGGAGATCCTAATGCAGTGCATCATCCCATCCCCGTCAAGGTAGTGATGTGGACCACCGGAGATGAACTGTGGGTTAGGTCCGTTACGAATGTAGGCACCATCGAGGCAAGGAGGAATGAATCCATGTATGACCTCACATTTGGTGGGGCTCAGCTCATCAACCGGTGCAAAATTGTCTGATAGTATGTAACTCGGGTCGACTGATAGATGAAGAGGACTATCGAGGAATTTGATGATGTGGCTATTAATTGTTTTAAATATCCTTTGGAGTAACGACAGCTCTGATGATGGTTTTCTTGAATCAACTCGAGCCCGAATAACATGCAAAGATCTTTTGGATTCCACGATGGTAGGAATTTCTTGTTGGTTATGTATTTTTGGGGTTATTCTTATTACATGCACCTCTTCATTGTTTCCAAGAACTAATGCCTTGAAAGCTGGTCGAGATTTTGCGATTTTGGTGGGAGAATGGAAATAGGGATATGTATGAAATAACGAAGTCATGTGTGTCGAGTGGGGCAATATTTCCATTCCTGCGATCATGAGTCGGTGCCAGTTCAGTAAAACATAGATTTCGTTACTTTCAATTTTAAGAAAAGTTACTCTTTGTGAACGTGCCTACCATCATAATTCATCGTTTTGGGAATTATTAATTAAGCAGGGAGAGTGGTGCCATAGATGTCCAAATAAAAACATATGATAACTATTCATACTAATAGGATTATATCTGTTAATAAGTTGTGAAGAGTTTAACCATAAAAAACCATATTTTTTGTTACTCCATGTCAATGTCATGTTATTTTTACCATAAAAATGTGTGTTTTCTTTGTCACACACAGTTGTGGTGCCATTTTTTTTTTAAAATTTAATTAATTGATATAGATATTATATATATATATATATATATATATATATATATATATATATATATAATTAAAAAAAACATTACATTACTTAAAAAAAACACATAACATGACAATAAAAGAAATCCTAAACACTTTGAAAATAAAAAAATAGAAATATTAAACATACAAACTTTAAAAAAAAAAAAAAAAAAAAAAAAAAAAAAAAAAAAACCCGATTAAAAGTAACTAGAATTTTCAAACCTACTTAGCTTAACGTTTTTTGATGACAACTTTCATTGCGAAAGCAATTTCAAGCTCCTCTCGGCTCATGTTCGTTTTGTCTAGCGTTAGAATTTTCATGCATGTCACTGTCTCTTTGTTTCCTACGCTCTCTTTCGAATGCAATTTGCAAAATCTTGTTCATTCTTTCCTTTATACCCTTCACATCGTCCCCCATTTCTTTCAAATCATCTGAATCTACCGTTTTGCCTTTGTCTTTGTGTTTTGTTTTCTCCCTTCCCATTGGTTGGGAAGGTGGTGTAACTTAAACGGGTTCATCATTGTTGAGGTCGATACCAACACGAGCATCAAATGTAGTGTAGTCAGATTCAGATGTTCTTGAGCGTTTTGAACCACTATCGATATGCTCTTTGGATGTTTTGCCCTTTTCCCACTTTTGGTTATCTTTCACAAGATTCCAAAAGTCAATAGACTTGAAAGCCTTCTTATTTTCCTTTTGGTACACGTTTAAAGCTTTCTTCAAAATCACTTCATCATTTTCTTCATTTTTCCATTGACTTTGGATGTTGTTATACAAATCATTAAACAACATGACTTCCTTGTTTATCTTTCCCTATTTTAAATACACTTGATCCTTTGAACGATACTCTAGAAGGTTCATTCTTTTGTGGAACCTTTTTGTAACTCGCCTCCAAAAATGGTCATGTTTTTTGTCTTTTCCTGTTTTCACGTGTTTAGAAATATCGATCCATGTTTGTGCCAATGCCATAACTTCTTCAGGTCCCCATTTTTTGGTTGCCGTCTTCTCTGTTCTTTTAGTTGGTGCTTTAGTGGGTTGCGTTTCTCGAACGATTTCGGGTTCAGAATCAGAAGTGGGTGTTTAAGTCTCTTGAGCAAATTCAGGTTGAGACAAAAAGTCAAACGGATTAAACTCAGGTTCATTTTGTGGTTGTGGTTGTGGTTGTGAGTATTGTTGTGAGGATTGTTATAGGAATTGTTGTGAGAATTGGTGCGGATAATACGGTAGCATGTCATCATAGTGATAAACCGGGGGCGGATAAATCGGTTGATCATACAAAGGTCTTAGGATTGTGGTGTTTATAATTGGTGTTTTTTTATTGTTTGGGTTGTTGGAAGAAGACATGTTGAAAGTTTTGACAAAAAAAGAATTTAAAAGATAGAAGAGTTGGATGAAAGTGTGGTGAATTAAGAGTTATAAGGATTTACTTATAGGTACAAGAAAATAAAAAATAACTGAATTTAAAAAAAATGGACCATTCAACGTTTTGAAAAAAGAGAAAGTAAGATAAAGTTGCAGCCAAATTCGACCATATGCGTTCAAACTGTATTGGAAATCGCAGTATGAGGGCGGTGTTCCTCTTTGACATCGTAGCAAAAATGCAGTCTTACCGCACCCACTCTGTTGGGTCTTATATCTCAAATGGATACAATCATGTAAACTGGTATAATTAAACATATATTTCTAAATTCATGCATCCGGAGAGTCACCTCAGCCAAAATCCTCCAAATATCATTTGACAAATAGTTTGTTTATCTTTATATATTATAAAGTAAAAAAGATAACTAAATATTGGGGTTTTATTTATTTTTCTTTGCATGCTTTTTTGGCATTTTAATTTTACAACACAGGATCAAGCTATAGCTATTTTTCTTTTTATTACAAACAATAGGCAACAAAAAAAAGAAAGAAAATAGATGTTTTCTACCCTCCATTACCGATGGCTTGTAGACAAAAAAATCTCTTCATAAAACCCAAAGGAAAGCAGTAGAGCATGAAGCAACACAAAACGAGTATTTTTTGCATTTATATTTCTAGGTTTTCGGGTCTATCCGGGTCTAGTATATGGAACCGGTTCTAATTATCATTTTCCGATTTCAACCGGTTCAATACCCACTTTACCCGGTCCAATATCCGGAACTGAACCGGAATCGGTTCCTCTATGTCAGTCTGGTTTCCGGGTCTCCAAATCCTTCAATTTTGGTTCTGGATTTTCTGGGACCGAGTCCAATCGAATCGGGTTCGGATCTATTTTCATCCCTCTTGGCAATCCATTTTAAGATGTTATGTTTATTGGAAAAAAAAAATTACTAACATATCAAAATTTATAATTTTTTATTTTATATTAAATAAAACTCATATTAGTAAATGCCTTTTTTTTAAATACATTTTTTTTACATTAGGTTTATCATAGTTTTATTTATATGTCAATAAAATGTGAATCAAATTTATGTTAAAACTCTTATTTATTCACATATGAATAAACCATGTATATTCATAGTTTATTCACATGTGAATAAATAATGAGTTTTTCATAATATTTTGATGCGCGTTTTACTCATATATATGGATAAAACATATAATAAGAGCTAAAAAAATTAAAAAATAATAATAATAAATAAATAAATCTACTTTTCTTTAATAAGAATTGTATCAATATGACAATTTTTTATATAGAATAAAAAACATTGATTTTGATATAATCGAGTTTTTTCCAATAAAATAAAATGTTAGATATTAGTGATTCTTGCATTCTTAGTCCTTTTTATTCATTTTCATTTGAGTCATCCTATATTAGGGTTGGTGGTGGAGTATGGGTGCGTATATTAGATTATAGCCGAAAGTTAAATGATAAATGCATTACTCTTTTTTAACCATTGAAAATAGGTAGGAGATAGTAGAAATACAAGATTTTGGAGTAAATATTGCAATTGATGTGTATTGTTTAAAGTTAGATAAGAAAGATTGTTTTGCATGGAAAAAGATTCAGACTGTGTAATTAAATACTTGTATGGGAACAATTCTTAGAAATGGAGTTGGAACAGATAGATTCGTGGAAACGTGCTTTCGATACAATTACAGAAATAAAAAGATATCTTAGGATACGTTTAGATTAGTAATTAAGGTGTTAAGTGGTGTTGGGACTTTGAGTAACTGGGGGTGTTCACTATGAACGATATCCATGAGTTTATTGATGAGTACATCGTGGAGATAGGGAATGACACCACTAGATGGAACTAATTTTTCCCAAGGTTAATATCTTTAGGTACGTGGAGGGTTATGCTAGATCGGTTTCCTGCTAGATCGAATCTGAAGAGTTGGAGTGTGCATGTCTCTTTTATTATGTGTCTATAGTGCAGTAATCATGATGAGACTTTAATCATTTTTCAAAAAAAAAAAATGTGATATTGCAACGGGAATATGGAATGCAACTTCCAAGTAGGCGGACATAGTACAACGTCTAAATTTGAATTTTGGTGTTGTCACTTATCAATGGATAGATGATTTTCATTTTTCTATGCAAAAGAAATCGGCTATGAAAGCAATTATATTGACTACATGGTGGCTGCTATAATAATTCCAAAACTCTATAGTGTTTGGAGAAAATATCTGAAGAAAAGATTTGATTTTTGATAATATAGTTGATAGTTTTATAATTGGTTTATCGATAGAAATATAAAATTATCATTAATTAGGTCTTTTAGATTCAAAATTCAGTTATATTTCTTCTATTGTAATTCATTATCCCCTCTTGATTCATTATAGAAATTGAACTGTTCAAGAAAAAAAAAATCCAGTATAAGGATTTGAGAAATCTTTAT